CATATTTGGAGACCGGCCTCGTCCCCGCACTGCGCGGATTTCAGGTCGGCCTATCATTGCCGACATCATTATATCATGACCGGCCTCTCGGCACGGCATGATTATCTTATTTGAAGACCGGGCTCATCCCCGCGATGCGTGGATGAGGACCGTTGCTTGATTTCAGGTCGGCCTCTCATTGCCGACACCGTTATATCACGACCAGCCTCCCGGCTCGGCGTGCTTTCCATATTTGAAGACCGGTTTCATCCCCGCTCCTCGCGGATGACGACCGTTGCTTGTTTTCTCAGACCGGCCTCTCATTGTCGATGTTATTATATCACGACCGGCCTCTCGACACGGCGTGTTTATCTTTTGAAGACCGGCCTTGTCCCCGCCCCTCGCGGACGAAGACCATTGCTTGATTCTTTCAGGTCGGCCTCTTACTGCCGACACTATCATGTTATGTTCGGCCTCTCGGCATGACATATTTATCTTTTGAAGACCGGTTTCATCCCCGCGCTGCGTGGATGAGAGCCGTTGCTTGGATATATCGGCCTGATCGGACACTATTGTCATCTCCTTATCAGGACCGACTGCTCAGCGACATTATGATCATTATCGGCTCCCAATGCCGACCTTCTTGAGTTAACGATCGGACTCACCCCTCCCCTCCAGGAGGATGACCATCGCCTTCGCATGACGACCAGCTATTCCATCGCCTCGTCATTTTATTCGTTTTGGTATCCCACCACCATTATGTGTGACATCACTTGTGGTCATTCTTAGAACCGACGAACGTATTTTCCTCCCTCAAAAAAAAGAAAAAAAGAAAAGATGGGGAGAAGGGGAGACGAGCTCCTATGAGAGAGGGAGTCTTGACGAGGTATGCCAGATCTTCCTTCACCGCGAATGACGAACGTCTCCTGACACGGAGGCCAGTAGGAACGTGGGGGGGGGGGGGGGGGGGGGGGGCTAGACGAACCAAAGGGAACCTAGGCAAGATAAACCAGTTCCTCCCATTTCCCGTGGATCGACGAACACCTTCTGCCAGAGCAGAAGGCTAGTAGGGCCACGAGCATGGGACGACGAAGCAGGGAACCCGCGATAGGGTAAACCAGTTCCTCCTTGTGATCGGTGGATGCCGAACGTCTTCTTCGAGGGAAGAAGATTAGTAGGATCACGACAGGGACGAACGAAGAAACGGGAACCCTGACATGGTATACCAGTTCCTCCCCCTTGATGAACGGATAACGAACGTCTTCTGCGAAGCCAGAAGACTAGTAACTCACGACGGGGGACGAACAGAGATAGGGAATCCCGACGTGGATAAACCTGTTTCTTCTCATAGATGGGATGACGAACGTCTCCTGCGAAACCAGGAGACCAGTAACTCACGAGACTTGGGAAGAACGAAGAACCAGTTCTTTACCAGAGTCTGTTGCGTGCCGAGTGTACACCGCTTAGCGGTCCATACATAGGACCACAGATACGGTAGACGAACGAAGACCAGCTCCATGGATCAGACACGAAGGACCAGTTCTTTACCGGAGTCTGTTGCGTGCCGAGTGTACACCGCTTAGCGGTCCATACATAGGACCACGGATACGGTAGACGGACGAAGACCAACTCCATGGATCAGACACGAAGGACCAGTTCTCCACCGGAGTCTGTTGCGTACCGAGTGTACACCGCTTAGCGGTCCGTACATAGGACCACGAATACGGTAGACGAACGACGATTAGCTCCCCAGATCAGGTAGGAGGGACATCGCCCAGATTTATTTCAGGCTCACCATTCCTTCCCGGATGGAGTCCTGGCAGACGATCGGCTTCTCACAACCAATCAGGAGAGAGACTTGACACATCACCAGCACGGTCGAGGGCCGTGAGACGATTATCACTCACCGACAGGCCGAGGGCCATGAGATGATCATCACCATTTTTTCTGTATCACGATCGGCCCCTCAGCGCCATCGTGTCCAGACTCGCGGTTCGGCTCACCCATTCCCTTCCAGGATAGCGACGACCGTCTTATGCAGTACGATCGGCCCCTCAGCGCCATCGTACCCAGCTCACGTTCAGCTTGCCCATCCCTTCCAGGATGGCGACGACCGTCTTATGCAGTACGATCGGCCCCTCAGCGCCATCGTACCCAGCTCACGTTCAGCTCGCCCATCCCTTCCAGGGTGACGACGAACGTCTTATGCATCACGATCGGCCCCTCAGCGCCATCGTGTCCAGACTCACGGTTCGGCTCGCTCATTCCCTTCCAGGATGGCGACGACCGTCTTATGCAGTATGATCGGCCCCTCAGCGCCATCGTACCCAGCTCGACGTTCAGCTCGTCCATCCCTTCCAGGGTGGCGACGAACGTCTTATGCATCACGATCGGCCCCTCAGCGCCATCGTGTCCAGCTCGGCGTTCAGCTCGCCCATTCCCTTCCAGGATGGCGACGACCGTCTTATGCAGTACGATCGGCCCCTCAGCGCCATCGTACCCAGCTCGACGTTCAGCTCGTCCATCCCTTCCAGGGTGGCGACGAACGTCTTATGCATCACGATCGGCCCCTCAGCGCCATCGTGTCCAGATTCACGGTTAGGCTCGCCCATTCCCTTCTAGGATGACGACGACCGTCTTATGCAGTACGATCGGCCCCTCAGCGCCATCGTACCCAGCTCACGTTCAGCTCGCCCATCCCTTCCAGGGTGACGACGAACGTCTTATGCATCACGATCGGCCCCTCAGCGCCATCGTGTCCAGACTCACGGTTCGGCTCGTCCATTCCTTTCCAGGATGGCGACGACCGTCTTATGCAGTACGATCGGCCCCTCAGCGCCATCGTACCCAGCTCGGCGTTCAGCTCATCCATCCCTTCCAGGGTGGCGACGAACGTCTTATGCATCACGATCGGCCCCTTAGCGCCATCGTGTCCATCTCGGCGTTCAGCTCGTCCATCCCTTCCAGGGTGGCGACGAACGTCTTATAGATCACGATCGGCCCCTCAGCGCCATCGTGTCCAGATTCACGGTTCGGCTCGCCCATTCCCTCCAGGATGGCGACGACCGTCTTATGCAGTACGATCGGTCCCTCAGCGCCATCGTACCCAGCTCACGTTCAGCTCGTCCATCCCTTCCAGGCTGGCGACGAACGTCTTATACATCATGATCGGCCCCTCAGCGCCATCGTGTCCAGATTCACGGTTCGGCTCGCCCATTCCCTCCAGGATGGCGATGACCGTCTTATGCAGTACAATCGGCCCCTCAGCGCCATCGTACCCAGCTCACGTTCAGCTCGTCCATCCCTTCCAGGCTGGCGACGAACGTCTTATACATCACGATCGGCCCCTCAGCGCCATCGTGTCCAGATTCACGGTTCGGCTCGCCCATTCCCTCCAAGATGGCGACGACCGTCTTATGCAGTACGATCGCCCCCTCAGCGCCATCGTACCCAGCTCACGTTCAGCTCATCCATCCCTTCCAGGGTGGCGACGAACGTCTTATGCATCACGATTGGCCCCTCAGCGCCATCGTGTCCAGATTCATGGTTCGGCTCGCTCATTCCCTCCAGGATGGCGACGACCGTCTTATGCAGTACGATCGGCCCCTCAGCGCCATCGTACCCAGCTCACGTTCAGCTTGTCCATCCCTTCCAGGGTGGCGACGAACGTCTTATGCAGCACGATCAGCGCCTCTGTGCCATCATGTCTGGCTCATGTTCGGCTCGCCCATCCCTTCCAGGATGGCGACGGACATCTCTTATGCAGCACAATCGGCCCCTCCGTGCCATTGTGTCGAGTTCATCTCCGGATCGCCCATCCCTTCTAGGATGACGACGGCCATCTTATGCAGCATGTCTGCCTCTCGGCGCTGACATGCCCGGTTTATCGATGAGAGCCACCGCTTTCTATCACATCTCACATTCCTTCTCTCATACATTGCACCCATACATTACATGCACTCATGCATTCATGCATCATACCTCATACATTCATACATACACACGTGCATCATGTTTTGACAGTACCGCGGCGTCGGTTTATAGATTCATGGACCTCTAAGCTTCTCCGATTGGAAAGCTCGAGTCAGAGTGCTTTACTCCCGCCTGATGCATTCAGGGGGAGTGTGCCCGTGGAGGAGCACCCTTCGCCCGACCCTGTCGGGAAGGGGGGTGCCTCACCGGTAGATTACGTTCAGGAGTGCAGACACCCACTCATATATTATGATTATGTGAAGACACAGTTTCCAGCAAGACAGAGGAAGAGCGCAGGCAGAGTATATTTTCTCGAGCAGATTCGCGCGCTCACTACTCAAGAAACTGGGGGACTTGTGTTGGGATATATTATCCCGGCCTATTACTGTTCAGGGTCTGTGTTGGGATATATTACCCCGGCCTATTACTGTTCAGGATCCCAAGGCTTTACGTGGTACGAAGCCCAATCAGTAAGGCCCATTTTAGCCCACCAGGCCCGATATCGGCCCGTTTGGCCCATTAGGGTGGGGAGCCCCTTCTCCCCTTCCCCTATAAATATGGAGCTTAGCCTCCATGTAAAGGATCTTTTTCCTTCTTCGCCAACTCTTATTTTCTCTCTAGCTAGTTCACTACTCCATTAATGGGAGCTCAAATTGTACTGTGTAATGGTGAGGAGAGTCCTAATGAGAATGAGAGGGCTTGGACATTAGCCTAAAAAGTTCCGTGGTTTTCTCCCTTTCCGGGTTTCCACGTAAAAATAGCTTGTTCATACACATTTATACATATATTTACTATATCGTGTTGGATTAAACTCAACAACCCCAAAATGTGATATACCTAAACTTGTGCAAGATAAGCGTGTATAAATTTTGTATACAGATAATTACTACCTCCGTCCCTAAATGTTCTTCCAATGTTAAGTGTCCACGGATTAAGAAAGTGAGAATTATGTGGTGAAGAGTTGTGCAGAGGAGAGAAATATGCTATGAAACACAAATTCTTTAACGAAAAGGGAGAGTAAAACTTTTTTTGGATGGACTAAAAGAAAAGTTTGAAGTAAATTTAGGGAGGAGGGAGTATGAGGTAGAAAAGTTTTGGACGTGTGATGGGATGGCAAAGAAGCAGCCTTGTTGCCATCAAGCAGGCCTTCTCAAGACACCGGAGGTGGCGTGGTGATGCACTATGCTTCACAGCGGGGGATCGTAGCCCGGGTCTGCCACTGCCGGGGATGGTGGAGAGGCCACAACAACCAATTGGGTTTCCCACGGCCATAGCAGGATTTTGGTTTAATTGCCGAAAAGGTGAAACCTTGTCCAATTTTGTCTTTAAGAGGTGGGGTTGTCCATGTGGCCCCAAAGGGTATGCATCTATGGCTGCTGCGAAGCAGGTGCCTAGTTCTTCACACGAGGCTGACGGAGAAGAACGTGATGGGGATGAAGATATTGCAAACGAGCCGAAGAAGAAGACCAATGTTGTTCCGGAGCACCTGGAAACGCTCTTCGCAGGTTGGGTTGAGCCTCTGCGGGTGGCCATAGCCAAGGAGCAAGAGCTGTGCCTGCAGGGCGAGAAGAAGGCCTCATATGCCAGGTATCTGGTCCAGTTGGATGCCAAAACTATTGCAGAGATTACGCTCCGTGAGTTGAAGGTTGGGGTGATTGTGGCACGTAGATCAGTGCACCTTTATTCCCTTGCTACCTCTATCGGATTTAACATAGAGATGGAGGTCTGAATGAATACCTTACCCTTTATTTATCTTGATAAAACACACATCAATACATCATATTCATAAACATCTTCTCTCCAATTGTTAATTATCCCTTGTGTAGATATTTATCATGTGTAGCTTAATCCATAAGATTAGTGTGGTTAGTTTCCCATGACGTCTAGCGTAGGTACTCTCTCATCTTATTTTGATTTGAGTACTAGAGGAAGAAGCATCACCTTTGGTAATTTGGGTTGTGGCAGAACCATCCAACCCCCTGCCCCCCTGCTCTCTCCAGCGTTGTATCATCCTTTCTGAATCTGTTTCAGCCTATTTATTTTAGATAGTATCAAGTTTGTTTTATTTCATCCTTTTGACTGAAGAAGGAGTTTTGGAGAACCACTGAACCATACGACCAATCTAGATGATATAGCATGCATGTATCCGCCTCCTCCTTTTTTGGACGCTTCTCATCCTCATTTTGTATGCCGGCTCTGTAAGTTTTTATATGGACTCATACATACTTGGCGCATAACCTTTTGCTACAGTCGTTGAAACTAGTCAGCTTTGTTCATAGCATATTTCATCACTCACAATTTGTGTATCCATGTAGACAACATCTTCTTTACTTCTTAGTTCTTTATGGGATTACTGCCTCTGATTCCATAAGACTCTTAATTGTAATAGGAAACATGAATGTGGTCTCTTTCTTTGACTTCTTTCACAATGGAATTGCTATGAGGAAATTGTCGAACATGTGATTGTGCACCTGTTGGCCTAGCCTGCTAGTGTGCAACACATTGCCTCTTTTGGTCCCCAATCGCCGATCTCACTTTCTACCCCAACATCACAAGGAGTCTTGCAGTATCTCCCTTATACACATTCAGATATCTACTGTAATGTTTAACGAGTATTTGTTTTTATGCTTTATAAGGATGCCACAGGAAGCAGTACATAGCCCTCACTATGCATCTCTATCCTTCTTACATTACCTATTTTCCATTTGCAGCCTAGTTTGATGCAGATTGGGGCGGGTGCCCCTATTCAAAATGGTCAACCTCTGGTTACAGTGTGTTTCTTGGTGTCAACCTTCTTTCCTAAGCCTCCGAACTCCAACAGACACATCATGCTCTAATGCGTATGGCTATGGTTAATGTAGTCACCTAGTCTCATTATTGTTATGTGATCTTGAGGTGGAACTCTACTGCGCCATACTGGAGGCCACCATTTATTATCGTGACAGTGCAAGTGATCAGATTCTGGACTGAAGAGAATAATATTACTAATATAATGATTGTAAGTAATTGTGGTAGTGTAAAAATAAGGATTACTGGCCATGTAAGTCATGGGTTTGGGCCATCCCTTTATAATAGAATTAATATAAGAGTGGGCGGAAGGAAAGAAGGAGGTAGGCAGAACTTGGGACTTGGGTTGGGAGCTGGGAGAGTGAGGCCTCTCTAAGAGTCTCAATCTGTATTTTCTTCTCTTTCCTTCTGTTTTCTGTTGTACGTTTGTTTACGGTGAAAATCGGTTCATACCATTTGGTATCAGAGCCATCGACCCAGGGAAGCTTCGGTTGACATTGGCGTCATAAAAAATGGAGCAGCGCAGAGAACATCGACCGCCAGAACAGAAGATGGCCGCCTCTGATTTGCGCGCTAACATGAAGAAGCACATGTCTACGCAAGGGGGGAAGGAACCCTGCAGGCAGCATCGAAGATCTGATCAGGATGCCTCGTGCAGAAACGTGAAGAAGTGCTCAAACTGCTTGAACAGGGAGAAGCGCGCGAAGAGTAAAGAGAAGGTAGAAAGTGATTGGACGAAGGAGGTGAGGATCTTGTTGGACAAGATGTTCACCAAGCTGCGGAAACAACATATCCGGCGAGGACGATGGTGGACATTAAGCCGTTGCCGGAATCTGTAAAGCAAAGCAGCATTGCCATTGCAAACAGATTCTACCAGTTCGCAGGTTTCCTCGCCACCATCTTCTCCTAGTTCGCAATCACGAGCGGCTTCGCCTAGTTCGCAGGCATCGTCTCTAAGTGCGCAGGTTGCTTTTCGATCGCGAGCAACTCCTTCCAGTTGCCTGGCTTCATCGAGAGCAGTTACTCTCAGTCCACAGGTGTCATCCTCATCTGCTATTTGTTCACGTTAAGGTGTGATGAGATCAACAGGAGGATATTTCAGTTCACAGAAGACAGCCATCCAAAGCGAGTTATCCAGGAACCAAGGACGTAGCCCACCCGGGAGAGAGATATAATTGCCGGTATTTATTGAGGAGGAGGCCTATGGCAGAACGTCGGTGTCAAGACCTCCGTCGGTTGGTGTTTCTGGTGACTGTAGCAAAAATTGAGGTACCACAGATAAGTTCCATACTGAAATATCAGTCAAAGAGTTGCAGATGATGATAGTGCAGCAAATATGAAGATGAATGGCATTAACGTTTCCAAAATGTACGAAATTCTTACTAGTAAAGAGATTCTCACAAGGGAAGGAGTTGATGGAATAAAAATTCAGATAAACTGTCCTCAGAGGTCGTCAAAGAGACTGGTGAACAAACAAACATTGTTCTGAATCGTAATAATTGCTCCTCTGAATGAGCAGAAGCCGAAAGTAGTGAGGTTCTCTTGACGGTCTGATGTGTTCTGATTGCACCAAAAGGGGAGTTAGTGGGGTATCTTAGTGTCATGAAGAAGTCCTTGTACCTCTATGGTGAATATTTAGTGAAAGGTACCGGTGGATCAGTTGTATCTAAGAACTTTGACTCTTCAGGTGTGCTTGAGCTAGGTAACGCTGAATAGAAAGGGGGAAATTCACTTAAAAAGAACTCCAGCAATATCAAGCGGAATGGAAGATGGATCATAGCCAATGTAAATGATGTCCAGTGGACCAGATTTCTGCTTGGATACACAACAAATGAGATATTCGTCAATGACTCTACTGCTCCAGTGTTATTGAATTTTGCAATACTAAAGGTTGCAAGGGATGTTGGCAGCTGGATCGTTACAAACAGAAATGAATCAATGTCTCCAAGAGGATTCAGGGACAAGACTAGCATTATTCCTTTTTGTTGATCGACATGTTGCGTTGGACGTGGCTGAAATCCCTAGAGAAGGTTGGAGGAGAAAAGAGAATACAAACTCTGAGTACTTGATGATTCTTAACACACTTTCTGGAATATCTTATGATGAGTTAACTGAGTATCCGATGTCTCCTTGGGTTCTGGCTGATTATCCATTAGAAACTCTGGAAACCATCAAGTCGTCTACTTACCGGGATCTTACAAAACGAGTTGGAGCACTAAGTCGAAAACAAGATGGAGAACCAATAGGTGATGTTGTGCTCCCTCAATGGATTAAGGATTTTCTTGAAGAATTTATAAGCAAGCACAGGGAGACCCTTGAAAGTGAATATGTAAGCTCAAATATCACCATGGGCAGTATGGGAGCATTCTGCCACCAGGACTTTGTTTCTGCTCTTTCTTGCAGTGAAGAACATGAAGATACAAGCTCAAGTACTGAAGCTAAAGGTCCAGAAATCGGGAAGTACTGGGAAGGCCATGATGAAGATGAAATTGAAGGTCAAGGATGTTTCCTATCAAGGACAAGGTGGTTGTCGAACAGGGGAGATATGATATGATTCGTGTCTGAATAGAATAATATTACTAATAGAATGATTTTAAATAATTGTGGTAGTGTAATGATAAGGATTACAGCCATGTAAGTCATGGGTTTGGGCTGGCCCTTTAGAATAGAATTAGTATAAGAAGGGGAGGAAGGAAAGGAGGTAGGGAGAACTTGGGACTTGGGCTGGGAACTGAGAGAGTGAGACCTCTCTAAGAGTGTCAATCTGTTGTACGTTGGTTTATGGTGAAGATCGGTTCCTATCAGCAAGTGCTGTCTATTTATCTGGCATATTGAGATGAACATGTTTTTTTTTTTTGTTTTTTATCACTGATTTCATATATCGATCCATGTTACCTGACCCCAAACTCATATAGGTAAGGCTTAGATGTTTTTTTTAGATGAAAGTCGCCTTTGGCCAGATCAAGGTTCTACATTATTCCTCTTCCCGTCAATATGTTTCAGAAAGGGTGTCGTGCAAGGTTGTTTTTTTGGGAATTCCATCCCATTCTAAGCGCCCAACCTTCCTTGACTTTGAAGAGGCGGTGTGGTGGAATGTAGAATTTATTCTTATATAATTAAATGTAATGTCAATAACTTTTATTATCTCTTGAATCAATGTTTACCTGGTATGGCGCAACCTTTAAGGTTGTCGATGTTTATGTTGTAGAGCTTAACCTTTTATGGTTAGTACTGGTGTTAGTTTTCTATTTAAACTCTGACACTCATGCATTATCAACTCTTTAAGTCTTTATAGTGTAAGAGATTGTTTGGTTCGGGGATTTTGTGGGGAAGGGAATTTCTAACTATTTAAAAGACTCTATTGTATTCTTCAGTTGATTGATCTATTATTTGCTTTATTTAAAAATTATTTTTCATTTCTTATCGTGACAAAAATTGTTTGATGATATATATATATGTGTGTGTGTGTGTGCCTATATATATTTATGTTGTTTTTAAATATCAATTAGGCAAGGATACAGAGTTTTCTCGAAAAAACCAAAGCCAAGCTTAGGAAAAAACGAGAAAGGATGGATGGCAGATGTGATGAAGCTGAAGAGGAGCTGAAGAAATTGGAGAAAGAAGTTGTTAAAATGTGGAAGGGAGGAGAGTATGAGCCCTTGAGGGTCGTGATTAAGGGACGAGACTGGGGTTTCCCTATGTATGAGAAGGTATCCTTTATTTAATACGGAGTAATATTGTGGGCCTTGCTGTTGCATTATTATTAACCATATATGTTTGTGCTAATGTTCTTCTCCATCATTTCATTGTAATCATTAAGTTGGACATCACACTTTATTACAGACAAATGCTTATATACTAGGGAAAAGATTTTGCAGTTTATTCATTATTTTTTTCCTGATTCTTCAATTAGAGTTAATAAAATCTCCTTTAGCAAAAAAGAATAACTCCATCCATATCAGCTTCAGCTTCAGCGCTTCTCACTTGTCTCTTTTGGACATCCCGATTAAAGGTTTCCATTTTTGTTTTATGAAATGAAATAATTAGCACTCTTTAACGACAACTTAATCCTCGAATAAAATAGGTCAACTATAACATCACAATTATTAGCAATGACCTCATTAGATTAAATTCACATTAAAACTACTTGTGAAAATACACTCGAATAACCTTTATTTAATTATATTGTCTAAGTAACAATGTCATATTTCAATGAGAACCTTAAGCCGGGAGGGGAATCGTACTAACTGGTGCAGTACTTAGACAGTCGACTACACAAATGTTGTTAGCAACAAATGATTAGTACTAAAGCGACCATCCTTTGATGGATAAATACATGATCTAAGTGTCATAGAAAATAGGCATTCACTTGAAGTAGATTTTCCCGCTACAGTGTGTTATATATGTGTCTATCTGACCATTCTATGCCTGTCTTCCATAAATGCTCTGTAGTATATGTATGTTCTCACGGAAGGCGTCATTATGATTGACTGTCAGATTGGAAGGCGTGTGTTGCAATTGCTTACAGAAGCAGCATATGTACAGCCTCCTCCCGACCTGCTTTTGCACTCGACATTAAGTCATTGTAAGTACCACCGGCTACTACTGCGTCTCCTTATTTTCTCTCATCCAGTAATGATGTTGTTCAATCTTGTGTTTCTATTTTCTATTTTCCATTCGTCATGTTCTTTTTCCTCACCCTTGATGCATGTGCACCCTCAACATTACAGGCGCTACCCATATAATAACTTTGTAGAGTTTGACAGTCTCTTAGCACAATAGTAAGTCTTCTCTTTCTCTGTTCTAAATCTCTTGCATGTATCAGTCTCTTATCATGTCATTTTTTACGCATGAAAACTACGGTTGTATCATTTTGTTGTGTGAAAAAAGATCATATGTTTCTGTTAATTCTTATAAAATGCAGGAGGGAAACGTTGAACTTCAACTAGGTGGACCAGTGACCCTCTTCTATCAACTAGCAACTGACAAATGGCTTATGGGAAACGACTGTCGTGTCCAGTGACGGAATCAGAACAATTTTTGAGCCGGTGCTGAAATATTAAAAAAAAATGTGCGTGAGAAAGTATACCCTCCAACTTCATTTTGAAGAAATAAAATACATAATTTTTATACTATAAGAGACTAGAAAGTTCAGCCAAAAAAATACATAATTTTTAAATTTGTAACATATACTAGTATATACCATTTGACTTTATAGAAAACGTATATATCCTTTAACCATTTAGAAAAAATTGTACTACCTCCGTCTCATTAATAAAGTGGTTTAAAAATAAAAGTTCTAGTTGAAATTTGAGTATAATAATAAAGTGAAATATTGAGAATTGCATATTTCTTTCAAAAAAAAGTGACCCTTATTTTGGAATAATTTAAAAAATGAAAGTAAGACAAGTAAAATGAGATGGATCGTATACATTAGCAAAAGAATTGAAACGAAAAAAGGGTTTACACACGAAAAAATTGTGTCCTATTATTTATTTATAATTAGAAGCCTCACCACTTCTGCTTTATTTTAATTTGTTACTAAAAAAGGGAGGAAGAAACTCAATATCAAATGCTTGGCAATCCTTGGTAGAGATTATTAATGATTTCTGTGCTAAGAATGACGCATAAATGGTTTTACAATTATAAAATAATAAAATCAAACGATCATTAAATATACATAAATTGACTAATTTCCGTTCTAGGAATCTAGCCAAGTAATCCTTATTATGATATAAAATGGTTTTACAAGTGACAATCCTTATACGTAGTATTTGATATTTTACAAGTTTATTTGAATTAATTAAAATATACACTATTATTGTAGCATAATACGTAATACGTAGTAATTAATACTAGTACTACTATGATATGCTGGCAGTACATACAAAATATAGGGAGTAGCAAATTAAGTCATTAAGCCATTCATGGAATTGAGGAGTTACACGGCTTTGTTGAATTTGGTATTTTGGGCCGGCCAGTAGCCCAAATGCATGTCTATTAGAACTATACTATGTATGTCTAAACGTAGGGATGGACTCGGGCCGGGCGGCCCACCCCGGAACCGGCCCGGACCAGACACTGTTTGAACCAGCCCGGCCCGGGAACCGGGCCCTAGGGCGGTTTGGGTCGACCCGGCCCGCTAGTCATACGGTTCGGGCTCTGGGCCAAATTTATTTTTTTTTTGATTTTTTTTTAAGTTTTTGGGTTGGGCTGGGTATTTTGGGCCATTTGAGATGGTTTGGGGGTGAGGGGGGAGGGTTGGGAGTTAATTAGGAGAAGCCAAAATAAAAAATTAGATTGGACCGAAGCCCGGCCCGGCCCGAACCGGACTCGGGGGTTACCTGGGCCGGTTCCGGGCCCGAACCGACCCGAGGCCATCCCTATCTAAACGCTGCCGTTGCACTAAATGAAAAAAACCCTACGGGACTTGCATTATACGGAGTCCGATTCGCTCCTCTCAGGATGTTTTTACTTGGACTGTAATTTGCTGGTCTGGTCTGATCTGATTTGGTCTTGTCTGAATTGATCTGGTCTGATAAGGTCTGGTTTCTTTGTATTTTTATAAATTATAACTATCCAAGTCTAGTCTGATCTGGTCTGGTCTGAACTGGTCTGGTCTGGGACAAATTACAGTCCAAGTAAAAACATCCTCAGTAGGCGCAAAGAACCAGGCCGGCAAAGGAAGACGGCGACAATGCTTTGCAGGGGCGCGGTACTGATAACACCTTAACTATTCCGGTGAAGGGGGAGTGCCGGCACCGCCTTGCCCCCCTAGTTCCGCCACTGGTCGTGTCTCTTTGTACTCATTTGTCTATGAACGCGCACTCCACCTTTTAAATTATTGACTCGGTAGAATTTTCTGTGAACCCTTATTTAACTCTAGTGTAAAACTATAAAATATTTGCAAATGTGTAATGCCCATGGATTATTATTGAAATGAAAATTTGTTGTGGTACTCCGTAATATTTCTAGCAATGCTTATGCTTACTGTTCCCTCAGTCCATCCAGTTGATAGTTCAAATTTTCTACATCTTTTTCATAAGTAATTAAGTGCCAGTATTTGATAACTCGCTTTTTCCATACAAATGCAATTCTTCTTCAAAGAATTATATGGGTACATTAAGGTCTCATATAAGAATGTTTCGCCGCCAACGGTACCCCATTTGAAATTAAAGAGCAGCTCATCTAGTAATTAAGAGTGTTTGAAATCATTTGGTTTTTCTCAATGGATAAGAGTTTGTTACGTTTGAATGTTTGATTTCATTTGTTTCTTTCTTCAGTTAGTTGTTTCTTTCTTCAGTTAAGGAAGACATACTTATGAGACAAGAGAAACAAATATTTTTTAATATATTTCTGTGTCTAAATGATTTACAATAGCTGCTATTTATACATGATAAAAAAAAATAGCTGCTATTTATACAAGTACTAATCATGTCTATAAGACAAGTAACAATACTATATTAAATGATAGAGATATTTAACGGCTAATTATAATATTGTGTCTTAAATGTCTTATAACAATAGTATATAATCAAATACTCCGTATATTATAGGTTCAGACAATTTCTGAGTCAACCGTTTATGAGTAAAACTTTAGCTAGTGATAAAAATTAACTAAGCTAATGAAGATATAGAGTATTATGATATTTGCAGAAACTTTAGCCTCGGTTATTTATTAATCAGTTGTGTATGTTGCTGAAATTCCATATCCTCACTATCAAATTTTGGTAGAATGCTGCAAAACTGTTAGCTTTTGTTACTGTATTGGTTAAAAATTAAAACTTATAGTTAGGTTATTTACATATATTTCTTGGTCTTTATATAATACGGAGTACATGTAATATAAGTTTATAGGAAGATTTAGATTTAATTATTTAGTTGGAACTACTTTTACTTTGGATTTTCCTTCAAAATTATCTCTCTATTTTGCTCCCCTTTTCTTCCTATAGCATTAATACCCGTTCCAACATGACTTGGCCCTGTTTGGTTGGAGGATTTCGGAGGGAAGGGGAGGGAAGTGAGTGATTTGTGTGTGCTTGGTTGAAAAAAATAGGAGGGAAGGAGAGGAAAGTGGAAGACTTCCAAAATACTCAACTTCCTCTCATTCTAAACCCCTCAAATCGGGGTATTTCGGACGAAACGTGTTGAGAACCACAAACTATATGTCTCATACGTGAATGAACAAAACATTATAGTATTAAAAAGATAAAAAATAAAAAGTTTTGAAAAATTAAAAAATTAAAAATTTAAAAATTAATTTTTTTGTCATAAAAATTAAATATTACAGGAATAAAAAAATAAAAAATAAAAAATAAAATTAAAAAAAAATAAAAAAAGTTTAAACGTTTTATAAATTAAAAATTTAAAAATTTAAAAATTGAAAATTTTAAAAATTAAAAAATTAAAAAATTAAAAAATATAAAATTAAAAAAAGTCAAAAGTCAAAAAAAATATTATGACTCATGACCTTAGGAGTAATATTCACAATAATTAGAGATATATATTATTTTTTAAATATGCTATCAAATAAAGGTAAATTGAGAAAATGTTTACATTAAACATTCTCTTCTATTTCCTCCAACCGAACACAATTTTTTTTCAAATTCCTTCCTTCCCCTTACCTTTCCTTCCCTTCTTGACTCTCCCCTCCCCTTCCCTCCTTTGAACCAAACAAGGCCTAAGGGTATGTTTGGGAGTTTGGAGGGAAGGCGAGGGGAAGGCTTTGAATTTGGAGGGAATTGTTGTTGGAGGGGAAGGTGAGGAAACGTTTCTTGATATTTGGGAGCAATAAATTAGGAAGAAGAGAGTTTTTGAAGAAAATATAATCAAAATCACCTTGAGATATGACAAATTCAAATAATTTAGTTGATATTCATTTTAAATTAGGACTAAATTATCACTTCAAATTACCCTTCAAAACCCTCCAAATTAGAGGAATTTAAAAGTTGAACATTTGAAGGATTTTGGAGGGTTACAAAATCACTCCAAAATCATCCTCTTCAATTTCTTAAAATATAATCAATCAAGCCATTTGACTTGATATAGTAGGTTATTAATAGATTTTATCAAAAGAAAAGATGAGGACAACAAGAATTTTGAATTCTTTAAAAAAATGAAATGTTTTCCAAATGTCTTTATGAGGTCAACTATGTCACAAGAGAGACTCAATGGATTGACGTTGATTTACATAGAATTTGAAACACTCGAAGAGATTGACATTGCTAGTTTGGTGGAGGACTTTGCATCTAAATATGCTCGAATAATGTCTCTTTTTAAATAAAATGTAAGTTATTAATGATTGCTTTTATTTTTATCATTACGTTTATTTATAACTTTTATTTTAATACAATTTACTTGTTTTGTAACTTTTATTTTAATAAAAAAGACCAACAACGTTATGAAAAATTAGTTTATTCTTGCATGTTATACAGGGTAATTGTTCAGGCCAAACATCTTTGTGCAATTGTACCACATTTTTTGAATAGTAGAAAAGATTTTTTTTTTGAAAACCATAGTAGAAAAGAATATAGTAGTAATTGAATTTCATTAATTCTACAAGCACTATACTGTTCCAATATGATAACTTTATATAAAGATTCACATAATTATTCATAAATTTTAGTGTAGTGATATATTTGTCATTATTATTTCATTCATATTTTTATAAAAACAAATATGAGATACAAATTGGAGCTCACATGTAAAAATTTACCCTATGAATTATGGAGATTCTCTTAGATTTGTTAATTAAATCTCCTCTTATTAGCTTAAAAGCTCTAGAAGGTCCATATCAATGGGAAAATCTCCCCAACCAATTTCTCCTTCCTCTATGGATGTGGTTTCTTCATCACCCACGAGGAAATCTTCCCACCACTGCATTGTATCGGATAAAGTTTCTTCAGGCGAAAGATTTGCAACTAAATCAGCCCTTTCTTGGAAACTGTCATCCCGCCTCAAATCCACCGGCGACGACGTTGACGGAGGTAGCGGCGGCGCTGTGCCCTGTTGGGCTGCCGGAAAATCATCGGTACTTTCTCCGACAGTTGACTGTTTTCGAGGTGCGGGGTTGATTAAGAATCTGGAAGGCCGAGGTCTGATGACGGCAGAGCATTCTGTGATTTTGGGGGCTTTCCTCTTCCCCTTTTCTTGCGTGGAAGAAGCCGCCATAGGAAACTCTGTCTTCTTCCTCTGAAGATGAGTGTTCCAGTAGTTCTTCACATCATTTGCCGTTCTTCCCGGAATTCTGCCAGCTATAAGCGACCACCTACACAGTCCCAAATATGGAATCAGAATTACCGATAGAGGGTAGATAAAAAGAGAATTCTCACTGATTTTACACAACTTTTTTGAATAATTTAGCAAATTCTCCTCAAATTGTAGGATTAAAAATTCAAAAAAAAAAACATGAAGAAGTATGTTTCTTTCTTTACTAGGACTTATTTAGTCCTACTGAAAAAAATAAAACTATTAAAACTTTCACAAATAGGAGTGAATGTGTGTACATGTTCCAAAATAAAAACAATGAATGACTAATGTTTTGGGAAGAAAATAACAAAACCTTTATTTTAGAAAATGTTGTATGCCTTAAGATGTTTTTACTTAGGCACAATTTTTTAATCTGATCTATTTGAATCTGATTTAATTTGAACTAATATGATATAGTAGATAACTGGTCTCTCTTTATTTTACATTTGTAGAGATGTGATATGATCTTATTTAATTGGGATAAAGATCAGATAGGGTCTCGAACTTGGAAAAAAATGTCAAATAAGGCCATATTTAGGATGCTCTGTCCAGCCGACGCCATTTGGAGCGGTTCCAGGTAGAATTTTTTGATGAATTCTTTTGAGAATCTTATTCATTAAGTCTAGTTTACTCATATCAAATTTGAACTAAAACTTCAATCGGGAAGGCATTCAAATGAATTCTTGAAGATAACTGCTCTTTTAACTGCGCAGTTATCTTCAAGAATTCATTTGTATGTCTTACGTATTGAATTTTTAGTTCAAATTTGATATGAGTAAACTAGACTTAATGAATAAGATTCTCAAAAAAATTCATCAAAAAAATCCATCAGGAACCGCCCCAAATGGCGTTGACCGGACAGAGCATCCTAAATATGGCCTTATTTGACATTTTTTCAATTTTGAGGCCCTATCTGACCCTTATCCCTATTTAATTTGTTTAAGTTTGATACCTTGGGATATGAGATAAAAATAAGTTATATGGAATATAGACACACGTGAGTAGTCTTTACTCATGTTTTCGGTGGAAATAGTATACGATGGCAAAGTGCTCCAGCGTGCTACGGGGGCGGAGAACTCTGGCGGTGCTCCGGCGGCAGCGGCAGAATCTGACAGTCTGCCAGATAATTTTTGGAATTTTCCGGCGGCGGCGGCCGTCGACCTGCAGCGGTGGCTGGAGGTCTGGCGGCAGGCGGTGGTAGCCGGAGGTCTGGCGGCAGGCGGCTGGCCGGATGTCCAGGGGCAGCAGTGGAGGTATTTTGGTCCAATCGCACATAAAAAGTCATATTTAAAAATGTTTAAACTAATTGTTAATTCCTAAACAAATACTCCCCCTCCGTGTGATTTGAGAGATGATAAAACAAACGAATCTCTATCTACATTCACATCATTTGTGGTAAATAAAATTTACATATTCAAAGAGTACATTAGATGTTTTACAAAGTCACAAAAAAAGAAATCAAAATTTGATTAAAGTTTGACCTATAAAGTAAGAAATTAATTAAGAATGGATTGTGTTAATCGAGGAAATAAGAAACATGATCATCAAATTGAGACATAGATAATAATAATAATAATCAATCATTGAGCAACAACAGAAAAAAGGCTTACTTCGAGGAAAAAGATCGAAGACCTTCACGGCAGGCTTCAACTCAATAGTAATACGTACTTGTAGTATATTGTGTGCAAAATGATACACATTAAATAGATCCTTATTATTGTTTTCTGTAACTTACAGCACACTATTCAAAACATTCTGCCATTCGACGACCACTACTGTCGATCAATAGAACTTTGTCCATTCTATTTTTAGTTGATCATTATCATTGAATCAGCTCAATAAATTGGTGTTAAAGTTAACTATTTACCTTTAAAGGCAATAATTTGCGATTGGCCCAATCCATTTGTTTCACAATCAATCAAGTACACAATGCTCTTAAACATGCTATGAACAATACCACTACAGTATCTGTCCCACTACATTTAAAACCAGACTCAATGGACTTATGGACTCAACCCTAGCTCATTGTATACAAATTATATGGATGAGTCATTTGTGATTTAAAATATTCAACTCCCATAATAAAGAATTAATTATGTAAATAATACCTTGAAGCAAAAAAATTAGTACTCTGAAAATCACTTTGCTAATTACTGTTATGATTAAACATGCACATACCGATAGTATATGATAAGTAATTAACTGACGGAATCAAGGTAATTAAAGATGAGACAAAAGTGATTACTTTATACAATAAATAATTAACTAATGAAATCAATAAGAAGGTAAAGATGAGACAAAAGTACGTAAGAGGGTTAATTAATGACTACTGTTAATACTAATTTTTGTAGTGAAATATTTGTAAGGTAACTACTAGGTTTTGTTAAGATTTAATTTTTCGACATGCATTTATACATTTAAAAAGAGTATTTTTGGTAGAATATAACTCAAATAAAATTAAGAATAAAAGGCGACTAGAGTTATCATCTCCATAACTTCATGATCTTAATCATCAAAAGTACTACTCCCTCTGTCCCATAAAATAGTTCTCGTTATGATTCGGATTGGAGTTTAAGAAAGTGAGAATAAAGTGGAAATATATGATTGTGGTTGAGTAAGAAAAAGGTAAATGAATGGTAGCCACACAAAATTTTCCAAAAAGGGAAATATGGACTATTTTTGGGGACGGCCCAAAAAGGAAATTAGGAACTATTTTGCAGGACGGAGGGAGTATATATTAATTCACTTTTTTATAAATGAGTTACATTTTTTTGTAGGAAAATATATTCTTTAACATATTACAAACGTTCTACTTGTACACACCGGTTTTCACACTAAGTGTATTTTGTCTGTGCACATACAATTGATTTTCATTTTAGTAAATGAACTGGCTGTAACCTCATCAATGTGACTTTATGTGAACATGTAAATACAAAATGCATTTGGCGTTTAAATGTTACTTGGATTGTTTTTAGTCGCAGACCAGACCAGACCAGACTTAAGCAGACCATACCATACCATACCAGACCTGTTCAGATCAGACCAGACTTGTATAGTTATAAAATACACAAAGACCAGACGTTTACCAGACTAGACAAAACCAGACTTAAACAGACCAGACTGGACCTGCAAATTTCAGTCCAAGTAAGGATGTTTTTACTTGGACTGTTTTCGGTCCCAAACAAGATCCGACCAGACTTAAACAGATCAGACCAGTTCAGACCAGACTAGACCAGACCAGATTTCCGTAGTTATAAAATACACATGAACTAGACATTAGCATACCAGACCAGTTCAGACAGAACCATACCAGACCAGCAAATTTCGCTCTAAGTAAAAACATCCTAAAAACATCATAAGTACGGAGTAGCATTTTTCATTGATCCAAAAAGGTGGAATCTCCCACCCCAGGAGCTCCCACCCCGACAGGATGGTCGGGAGGTTAATCACGGAGTAGCATTTTTCATAAATTTATGGGTGGTGGGCCGGTGGCCAACGGGCAATATGTAGCTGGGAACAGTAGCAATTGCAAATGGGCCAATATTAATGGAGTATGTGATAGTGAATTGAATGGTCCTCAAAGCATGTAGCTAGTCCAACCATAAATAAATTGAATTGTAAGAGTACGAATTAGTTGTTGAATTTAACTTGCCTATTGCCTAAGAGTTTATGGAGGCGCAGAATGAGATCAACTTCATCCAAACCGAAATGACCTCTCTTTATATCAGGACGGAGATAGTTTAACCATCTCAATCGACAACTTTTCCTGCACCTATTCAGCCCTGTAACACACACATCATATTAGTCATTTGCGTGTAAAAGTATGCATGAGACAATCATTTAAGTAATAAAAATAATACGTGAAAATGTAACTTGGACTTCCAACTTTCCCTTTTCGTCCGTCTCTATTATGGAGTAGATTAAACCAGTATAAAACAAATTGAGATAAAATTTCACACAATATTTATACAACATATATTCGAAGTTTTTTTTCAGATTCTATCTTTTGGGTGGTTTTCATTTCTGTTGTGACAGCATCTTGTGATTAGAAAAAAAAATTAAGCCCTTGGCGATCCACTTTGCTTTTTGCACAGGATATTTGTAACTATATTTAATCATGGATTATGAGCAAAAATTAGATTTATTATGAATTCAGTTTGAAAAAAGGTTTTGATTACTTTGAGTCTCATGTAAAGATTATACTACGTACGTATATCACTGCAAAAAACTTACGAGGTTGACACAGAATTTGGCATGAACGTATCAATTTTTCATGCCAAATAACTCGTGACAAAGTGTTTTTGGTACGGATTTGACATTTCTCTCCCAAAATCTCTGTCAAATTCGTGCTAAAATATCGGTCAATCCCGTGATTTTTTGTAGTGTATACTCCGATGTTATTGATATGAATAATATAAGTGACATCCATTAAAAAAAAGTTTCCCAAAAATATAGTGGACCCTTCCTATCATGAGTCCCTAACTACATTTAGAGATGGTAATAATGGGGTCGATAGGGACAGTTTGTACTACGTAAATAAATGTACCGCCTCACTAGGTAACTTTCCTGCCCCACAACCTTCCAATTACAAAACATGTAATTTTAAGCAAATCATAACCACCCGAAAAGGTAACAGTTTATTTAAATGAGTGATACTTAAAATACACAAATACGTTTAACAGTTTATTAAAAACGTTTATTTAAAGTAGTATAAAATTCAACGTGTTAAACGGCGGGAAATGAAACCATCTAGCTGATTATAAACATGATCTTAGCTGTCACTTAAAAGGCTCGTGCACCAACAAGGCAGTAATTAAGAAGGATGGAAGATATTTAAACTCAAAACTTTATAACTTGAAAAAGCAAAAGTTTGATAATAACAAACATGGACGCTTAGTTTTTTTTGTAGTTTTCAATTGTTAGATCAAATAATATCCATTATTCACGGTTCGAAGTTCTTTCCATCATTTGCAATGGACTCAAAGATTCATTATTTTTTGGCTTGAGATTATGATAGAATAAAGCAAAATGGTTCACTAAATTGTCTGCGCTTCTTTGTTATGAAGTAGCAGTCAGTCCATGCAATTTTGGACGGGATTTTCACTATGAATCATCCGGAAACAGTGTCTTTGTGCTTTAGTACAGGGGTAAGACTGCGCACATCCGATCCTCCATTACCTCACCGTAGGTGGGAGCCTTTGCGGCATTGGGGTAAATGAAAATAAAAAATGATTCACAGTTCGAAGTTAAGTAATATTGAACATTCATTAAGTAATATTGAACATTAACTAATCATGATGATGATGATGAAATCAATGGGCGTGCATTATTACATACCGGCTCTAGTAGGGACGAGATGCCATTTTCCTTCACCATATTTGTCAATGCAGTTTCGCAGGGTATTATCTTCTTCTTGCGTCCATGCTCCTTTTCTCAATGTAGAAGACGGCTTATTTGCAGATGATGAACTAATAACCATGATGGTGTAGCTAGGTCTATAAAAGCTAAGGACGTCGTTGTTCTAACTTCCCAGAAAACTTGAGATTCTTTTCATGGGTATACACACATACGGAGTATATAATAACCTACGTACGTGGAAATCCAAAGAAACATAGACATCACCTGGACAAATGGAACGCCGCACCATGTATTTCGTAAAGAAACTATCACATATTATATATATATATATATATATATATATATATATATATATATATATATATATATATATATAGGAAAATTCTGAGATGCAACACCTCCCGGTAAGGCAGTCAAATAATTCGTTGAAGTTAACTGTGTTTTGTAATGTACAATTTAGCGCAGTTAACTTCAACGAATTTTTTGACTACTCTCCTGATCGAATTTTGAGTTGAAATTTGGTATGACTAAACTAGACTTGATGAGGAACATACTAAAAAAAAATCATTAAAAAGTTTCACCGGGAACCTCCCCAAACGGCGGTGTTCGGACAGAAAAGTGCTGGACAGGAGAATGACTCTCTCTCTCTCTCTCTCTCTATATATATATATATATATATATATATATATATATAGGGGTGGTTCAAAAAAAAAGTGGTCTTAACGCGCAAAGTGCAAAGTTTGCACTTTTTCATGTTTCGCTTGCACTTTTTATTGCTTTCGTTGCACTTTTTCGCGGTAGCTCAAAAAATTGATTTATTTACAAAACTGTCACCGTCATTTTGGCCGAATTTGGCCAAAATCAAAATAGCCAAAAAGTGCAAAGGAAACAAGAAAAAGTGCAAGCGAAATATGAAAAAGTGAAAATTCTGCACTTTGTACGTGAAGACCACTTTTCATTTGAGTACTAAATCAGCTTATGTAGAGAACAAAAAGTGGCCCGAATATATTTTACACTCGTAAAATATACTCCGTACAATTTACACATCGTAATTGACAATTTAGCATGGATATAGGAACCTCCGTGCGGAGAAGGGCGTCAGAGGCCTTCCTGGTGGAATTTTTTGATCATATTCTTCATCAAGTCTAGTTTATGCCCACCAAATTTCATCTCAAAAGTCCATCGGGAAGGCACTTAAACAAATTATTGAAACAAACTGTGCCAAAGTATACATATAAAAGTTCAGTTTTTTTCAATAATTTATTTAACTGCCTTCCCGATAGAGTTTTGAACTGAAATTTGGTGTGAATAAACTAGACTTTATGAAGAACATGTTCACAAACTTTCATCAAAAAATTCAACCAGAAAAACACTCTGATGATCTTGTCCGCACGGAGGTTTCTATACATACTATAGGAAGGGGACTCTATATATATAATTATATGCACATACAGACCTCACAGACGCATCACGCATATAATTACCTACCCCACTTGCATTGTTGCTTTATAGTAGGGCTGTTAACGAACCGAGCTTTTATCGAACTATTCGATTTCAAGCTCGGTTTCGAGTCTAACGAGCTGAGCTTAACGGGCTTTCGAACTCGAACCCGAGCTGAGTTTCTAGTTCGAAAACTTAATCGAGCCGAACTCAAACATAGTAGTATTTGGCTCGGTTCGAACTCGAGTCTATCGAACACATGAAATTATAAATATAATTTATATATATGTTAAAATTTAAATATAATTAGTTGTTTTATGAATTTAAATATGATTATTAACAAATCGAATACTTGTCGAATCATTCGAGCACGAGCCTATTAACGAGCATCGCCTAAAATTTTAAGTTCGAGCATATTTATCGAGCTTATCGAGCGCTCGGTTCGAACATCGAACGCCTATCGAGCCGAACACGAGCCTCATTTGTAAAGCTCATCGAACTACGAGCTCGAACCCGAGCACCACTAATTCCTTATCGAGCTGAACTCGAGCTTTAGGTGTTCGGGCTCGGCTCGGCTCGTTAACAGCCCTACTTTATAGGGTGTTTAAATAATAAGGAAAAATCTATTTCTAGGTACGGCTTTACACGCCTATTAATTTTTCGTGTACATAAGCAATTCATTAAAAAACTTTTACTTTTAAAAATTCTTAATTATTTTAATGAATAGCTTTTGAAAAATGAGACAATCTTAGCGGGACGGAGGGAGTACAACTTTTTTCTTTTAAAACTTTTTCGGTTACTAAAAAAGTAAAACAATTACTAAAAAAACTTACAAACATATTTGTTCAACTAATTCTGCCAAACACACCTTTTACTGAAGTATATATGTAAAACAGCAAGTTCATTTGTTGTGCTCTATATGCATGTCTCCTGCTCAAATGAGTAATGCCCTTGCTGTTTTGACATTTTATATATAAAAAGAGTAATCTTTGACATAAAAATATGTATTTATAATTTATTTGATCGAGCACCTTAAGAGTGCAGCATTTGAGTAAATCAGCTTATGTAGAGAACAAAAAGTGGTAAATCAGCATTTTGAGTAAATCAGCTGATTTAAATGATCATTTAGAAAGCTAGGAAAAACAATCCAAGATTTTGTATACAAGTTAGCCTATTTCAAATATAATTTCCTTGAAATGATAACTAAATAAATAATTACCAAATTATGTGTTCTAGAATCTAAAAGTAAAATTAAATTAGTGTTACACAAAATGAAAAACAATTAATTAAGGTATACATTTTACACTCCTAGTACCTTCCAAGATCCCGGATGGAGTTACGTTGGAATCATAAATACGTAGTACATTACTCCCTCCATCTCATTAGTAGACTTTATCAATTTTTCTTCTTTATTTATCTCAACAGAAGTTTGCTAGTTTTATTTTAAAATCAAGAATTTGTGACTTTGTTCATTTCTTTTTCCTCTACACTAACTTCAATCACATAATTTTTACTATTAAAAATTCACACCTAACAGGCTAGCATCAACTTGTCAAAGTTGAATGGAACAAAATTAGTACTCCATATTATACATTTATACTTCGTGTAAAATATATACACCCGTTTACACCAACGTGGTAGTAACACAACAGTTTACCTTTGACGTGTGTGGAGTATAAGAAGTACTAGAATTAGAATTTTCCCCGAGTCACAACTGGAATTTTGTCCTCAAATTTTGTCCCACTTGCACTTAAATTTATTCCAAGGCTAGCATTCAAAGTTAATATCATGAACCTTTTGGGGAGTACCAAATGCTTGTATTAAAATTGGGACTATTGAATGTTTATAATAAAATTGGAGGCGAATTCTTGAAATACCAAAATCAATCTACCGAGGTTAAGATTGTGTATTTGGATGAAATTTATATGGTACACCCGAGTGTATATATACACCCGGTATTATTGTAATTAGTTCTAATTTGAATGGCTATAACGAGAACATTACTTCTTCTATCTGTATTCTTCCCTACCTGGCTGCGTAGATGCTCTCCTTCCTCAGCCTTCCCCATATTCCCTTCCTTTTTACCATGTGTGTATTTTCTTTTCCGTAATCATTCTTTCTTTTTATTTTTTTTTTCTTTTTTTATTAACAACCTTTTCAATTAATTTCTTTTTTCCTTTCTCTAATCAACCTTTCTATATAACTTAAGTATTTCTTTAAATTATTATACATTATAAAATATTTTAGGTATCAATGTTTTTTTTCTATTTAAATTTTAAGATGAATATTTAAGAGTTTTTATTAAAAAATCTTTATTCTAATCATAAATATGTAATTGTTTCAATATTAAATAATGTAATAATGTTTGTATGTTAATTATTTTAATATTGTGTGCTCATTATTAACGGGAGTTTTTAATAGTGTAGAATTAATTAAGCATTAATTATTAGGTAGTTTCCTAATTGTACTCAGATACTTATTTCTTATATATATATACTGTCAGGGCTACCAATCTAGGCAAGCCTGTTATTATTTCTCACATGGTATCAAGAGCATAGGGTTATTTAAATATTTTTTTTCCGTCTTCCGCCATGAGCACGGTCGCTGCCAGCAACCCTACGGTTGCGCCGCCGATCTCAAATACGCAGACCGCCGTTACCTTGCCTCCTTCAACCGTGATGTCGACGGCACCGGCAGGTCCTCTATTTGGTTCCTCCTCCGTTATGCAGCAGTCTCTCGCCAGGCCGTTTCCGATGAGCAGCGCACCGGACATATCCGCCTGGGTTCCACCGACGTTTGACTAGTCACCGCCGACTCCTTCCCGGCAACCAGTTCTATCGATCCCCAATCCACCGGTCACGACAGAATCCTCCAGGGCTCCGTTTGGTGGTCCAACTATGACTGACCAACAAGGGTTGGCTCCTCCCGCATCCCTCCGGGCGATTGAACGTGCTCTTCCTTCCATGGCAGTCGGTTCCCTTGAGGCTATTGCTCAATCTATGGGATTTTCAGCCCCCAACATCACCAATATTGTCACTACCAAGCTTGATGTTGTCGAAAATTACCTTCCATGGCGCACACAATTCGAGTCTTTTCTGGTATCTCATGGATTAATGGGCATTCTTGATAGTACAATTTCTCCTCCTCCTTCTACTATTTTTGATAATCTTCGGAGAGAAATTGCTAACAATGAGTTTTATTACTGGCTAAAGTTAGATCAAACAGTCCGTTCATGGCTGTTTGCTACTTTGTCACGTGATATACTCGTTGAAGTTCATACCCTGAAAACTTCATCTATTATGTGGGACCGTCTGGAGTCACGTTTTATGGCAGCCAGTTTGGCTCGTTCCATGGAGTTAAAACGATTGTTTACTAATATTAAAAAGAAAGAGAACCAATCTATGGAATAATATATGCGTGAAATACAGAAAATTGCTGATGCTCTTGCTACTATCAATTCCCCGGTTTCTCTGAAAGACCTTATAGAACAGACTTTGCTTGGCCTGGGTCCTGAATATGAGTCCATCATTACCACCTTATCCTCGTTCCCCGAAGGTCTTACTTTTGATAAACTACGCGAGCGGATGGTCCAACAGGAGCAATGAATTCATTACCTTAGATCCCAAGAAGCTGTCGTCAGCCCTACTGCGTTTGCTGCTCACCCGGCAGCACCTCCTGCTCCAGGGCCCGACGCCCGAGGCGGATTCCAGAATCAGCGCGGCAGAGGCCGTCGCGGACAGCGAGGGCGAGGTTCCCGTGGACGTGGTCACGGGTACGGACAATATCAGCAGGGGTTTCCAGCTCAGCCTCCTGCCTATTACCACTCACGGCCAGGACCAGCGCAAGGGGGCTATTTTCAGCAGCCCTATTATC